ACATATCTCTCTCTCTCTCTATATATATATATATATATATATATATATATATATATATATATATATATATATATATCTACTTAACAAAGTAGTTTGATTTTTTGGTCATTAGCTTTTCGTGACTCATTTTGCTTGAAGAAATATTGATACGACAGTCCTAATACGAAATTTCCTTCCCCCTCCTAATTTTTTGAGCAAGACATTCATTCTTTCCACAATTCTAAGATTTCTATCTCTCTTATAACTCTATCTCTCTATTTCATTATTTGTCTTGAACTTTTTGCTACTCAGATTGTTTTAAGATTATTGGTTAAACGATCAAAATTCCTCCTCCAAATTTTTTTCCTGCCCAAAAATTACAAGAATTCTTTCATTTTACTTGATTATCAGTTCGAAGTGATTATGATTAAGATTTGAATTGAGCTGAATTTAATTGTCGAGTATAAAATATATATTCTTACTTAAACTTAATTTTGCTTAAATTTTACAAATATTCAAGTTGAAGTCAAATTGAAATTGATTGTAAAAGTAATAAAGAAAAACTAAATAAAAAAAAGAAGAAGAAGTTATGGCGTCACAGTGAACGAGAATAGATAAGAATTAGTTTGTAGGTTTAAGATAAAAGTGTTAATTGAGTTGAACATAAATTCAATTCTCGGTCTGACGTAATTATGATTAACACTTGAATTGAGTTAAATTTGACTGTTGAGTATAAAGTATAAATTCTTGTTTAAACTTAAAGGGTGGGGTCATTCCCACCCTTCAAATCTCTATTCCCACCTCATGCTACATACACCCCCCCCCCTTAAAAAGAAAAGAACGAAAAAAGGAAAAAAAAAAAAAGAAGCAAATTGAAACAAGAATGAAAAAAAAAAACCAATCAAAGATTGAAGGAACAAACAAAACCACAAGATGCAAAACCTGACATGAAAAAAAAGTATCAAACATAGACACAATTGAACAAGAAAAAAATAACAAACATAGATGCAAAAACTACAAAAGATAAAAAAATAATAAATATCTAAAAGCATACATATATATATATATATATGCACATATCTAAATTCTAAATAAAAAATTATTAAACTTGACAAAGATATCAAAACATACCGAAAATAATGAAAATTTATACAACAAACAAGAAATCAAACATAAAATTAAATTGAAAAATAATACTAACATGTATCTCAATGAAAAAAATTCATATTGAAAAAATATTTTTGTGAGTGCATGAGATGAAATTGAAAATGAAACCCTAATTATGACAAAATGTAAGGTGAGTTTACTTATTAAATGAGGTGTATGTAACATGAGGTGGACTTAGTTACTAATGAGATAGGTATAGAAGGGGTGAACTTAGTAGTTTGATAATGAAAAATTAAATGGGATGACAATATGTCACCAAACTTAAATTCGATTGAATTTTACGAATATTTAAGTTGAACTCAAATAAAAACTGATTTTAATTCTTTAACAAATTTTTTTACCTTTATGAGAATTCACGTGAAACTTTGGACGTTTTCCTCACAAAAGTTATACGAATTCACATTGGAAAAATGGTGCAAAGATAATGTTATGAACTTTAGATAGAAACCTGTAGAAAAACAGATAGTTATTTTTTTTTTTTGAAATTTGAGATAAAGTTTATTAAAAATGTTAAAATTATGGATGTTTGATCAATAATAATTATATTTTTTTTCATATTTTTGAATTAATATGTTATAGTGTGACTTTCATTTTATAAAAGTTTAATTATATATGTTTTGCATAGAGGTTGAACAATATCAATTTGATCGTTGTATTGTTGAAATTGTATTATACGTTACCTTTATTTATGAAAGAAGATTTACAATTTTTTACGAGTAGCATAGTACCTTTAGGTACGGACAATTACTAGTATATCTATAATATAAAATAGAGTAGATTTCAATAAACTCATCTGACTGTCTTAAATAAATTTATCCAACGGCCACCAACATCCCTTTAAAAATCATTCACATTACACTGTGCCTTCAGACATGGGTTAATATATATATGATATGTAACTGATGGTGCTTGAAAATGTTAGCCCAAGTTCAGAACTACAATCCGATAGCCCAGAGAGGGGATAGAATAGAAAGATGAGTTGGAAATGGTTGAAACTGTAAAAACACTACATAAGTGGTTCACCTTAGCTGAATAACTAAGGTTACGTCTACTATAAGAGAGTCTCTTACTCATTGGGATTGTATATTGCTTGAAGAAGGCTATTACAATGGTACCGTTGGATTAGAGCCTTTACAAAAAATGCTTAGAGAATAAAATCTTAACTGTGTAGATAATTGAGCAAGTGGTGAGGAAGATGATGATCATTCCCCCTCTGTAGTGTAATAGTGTCTTGTTTATATAGGTGGTCCTTCTAGGATTTCTTACGGCTCCTTCCTCCTTTTTGCTGATTTTGTGGGTCTTTCTGCTTTTGTCCTTTAGTGACCTTTGACATGTGACGCCACTGCACCTATGGACCTTGAACGGTTATGCACACCAATATTCTCTGTGGCAGAGAGTGTGTGTTCGTTTAGGGTGTCAGAAGTGGTCCCCTACCCTCACGACATGTGGCGTGACGGGAGCATTTCAAGATCGACAAGGGGCTGAGCTCCTTTATCTTGAACTGACCTCCCACTGAGCTGGATTGGGGCTGGGCTGGACTTCAAGCTTTCAGATACTGTTGGGCTTCTTCCTTTGGGCGCAATTCATTCTAACATTGGGGGTGGACAGGCTGTGGATGAGTTGTTTGGGCCACTTTACAAGTAGAGGCCTCCTGGGCCTATTGGGCTCTTGATTAGGGTGGCCTATACCCAAAATTCCATTATTATCAGTAACCAATTTCAAAACTTATATATATATATATATAGATAGACAGATCCTAAAAAATGTTGAAACAGATCTTAAAAGAAAAAAGTAAACAAAATCTGTTATATATGAATCAAGCAAAGACAATTAAGTAATGAGAAAATATTTAAAACTAACTTGTGTTTTTAATAACTGAACTTTTAGGTGGCATTAAACTTAATAACCCAAAAGTATAAGTTTTGTACTTAAATTCAAATAAATTCTCCAAAATATATCCACTACAGTTTTCTGTAGAAAGAAGTTTGAGGGCCTCTCTAATATTTGGCCACGAGTAGCAAGTAGCAACCAACCTCTTCTTTCTTTCTTTTTCTTTTAAAACTCAAATTTTCTATGCAAAACTTGAGATGGGAGCACTTATGTTATGTTCTTGGTTTGGAATTATCTAGCCACTTTTCTCTTCTTTTTTTTTGTTTTGGTTATATTCACATATGTCATCCCCTAAAAATTTGTGGAAAGAGTAATGTGTCTCCCTAAACCCCAATTTCTCGGGTCTCTGGAGCTTGTCCCTTCTAGTAATTGAAAAATCTAAATTGCAATTTAAGAGACAACTCATTTACTTAAAACTAGCCCAAAATTATCAAATATATTTTTTCTTTCTGTACTCATAAATCAACTCTAGAATGTTATTATACTTAATTTATACTTATTACCCATTAGTTTTTGTTCATAAACTTGGCCTTACATCACAGGATCACACAATTTTTTTTTTTTTTGAACAAACATGATCACACATTTAAAGAGTGAAGCTTATGAGAACACATAACCATATTTACATCAGCAAATGAAAATACCCAAGCAAGCATTACTAGACAACATTAACTTCAACAGGAGCATTAGAAAACAGTATTAGGCAAGAAACGCAGTTATGGTCTAGGGGGTCATCTCCACACCCCTTAGTTTTTGAGAACGACAATGTTCAAGTTCTATTTGAATAGTGCTTCATCTCTCCGAATTAGCTTTGGATTTGGGGGAATTTTGGTCCTATCCTTGGTTATCATGTTCAAGAGGACTAGGATCCAAGGAAGCGAATGCGAGGAGCTCTAGATCATACTCGAATACAGCCATGTATTGTTCACTTAGGCAAACCCAAGCTTTAATTCCATCACCCACTTTTGTATCCACTAGAAATATGACATTAGACAAAACTGGGGTATTTGTGCTCAGAGTGCTTATACACCACCATTTAGGTTTTCCCCACCCGAAATTAGTGTCATGAAGGCCAAAGTTACACCAACTAGTGACAAGAAAGTAATCAGCGTCAGGATTGGAATACAGTTGAGCCATTTCTTTGAGATGCTCACCAACTTTCAAAGACCCTTCATCACCTTTTATTTCTTCAACAAAATCTTTGTTTATTTCTACAATGGAATTCTTTAAATGCCCTACAGTGGAGGGCAGTCCCAAATTTGAATTCACCTTGCAATGTGCAATCACCATCCAGATGATGTTTCCAATAGAACTCTCTAGCAATGGTGACGAACTTTTTCTTCGTAGATTCACTGAAAGTGACAAAATAGACGACTTTTTGGAACCATGAATTGCTTTAGAAGCACCTATGGCGCATTTCTAGAGAAGTTTAATTGAAAACTACTTTAAATTTTAATCTGAAAACCGTCCAATATGAATGCATTTACGCCTTCCAAGCCCAACATGTGAATCTCATCGCCAAACTTTGACCTGAAAACAAAAGATAATATGGTACGACATTGTACGCCCATTTTCTTCTTCAATTTTTGTTGAGCGAATTGTATTTTATATTTTGAAAGATTTTAAGGTTTTTATTTTATGTTCTTAAAGTTTAAATTTTTTGTATTGGATCTTTTTGTTAATGTATCAAAAGTATTGTAATGTGAACTTTTTATTAACTTTTTGTTAGTTTTTCTGTCAGCGTTAATTGATTGACTTTTAAAAAAAAACAAGAAAAATTAACAAAAAGATTATATTACAATACTTTTAATATATTTAGTGTATAATATAACAAATTTAATCTTTAAAAATACAAAATAAAAATCTTAAAATTCTTTAAAATATAAAGTGCAAAAAATCCTTTTTTGTAATTGGTTCCGTGTATCAATTGTGTTTTTTTTTTTTGGGGGGGGGGGGGGGGGGGGGGGGGTTAAGAATGTCTTTTTCAATTGAACGGATTTGTTTGNTGGGGGGGGGGGGGGGGGGGGGGTGGGGGTTAAGAATGTCTTTTTCAATTGAACGGATTTGTTTGAGACTTGTACGTATCTTTAGTGAGTTGTCTTAATAACAATGTCATATTAATTATTCATTGAGGAGATTTGTTGTCAACTTCAATGTAACATTTCACAAGTGTACACCGCATTATAGTCTTAGATACTTCTAACTTCTTAATTCATGTGAGGTGCACTTGAGGTGTTCCGATAAAGTTGGTAAAAAAATCTGACGAAATAGGTATATTTAGCTAAAATACATAGTTGAAAGACTAAATTAATAAAAAAATTAATTTAAAATTTTAATTGACATAAGTAATTTCTATTCTAATTTATAATTTTTTTTTGATACATTGGAAAGTAAAATAAAAACACTAATAAAAACGACACTAGTTGAGTCGACCATGAGGTTATTTATAATCTGGTGTGGAGGGGAGTCAAATTCCACAAATAGCTCCTCTTGTTGCATTTCTAGATTTGCCGATGCATCTGTATATTGGTTTCCTTCACTGAATGTGTGTATGATAGGAATCTGAATCTCAGTCATCATATTTTTGCATCTTACCAATAATGATGTGCTTGGATGTGATTCCTCAATATCGTGAGAAAGGAGTCTTGCAGCCTCCAAAGAATCAATCTCTAGGAAGCATGAATACGGATATTTGACACGAGTACGATACGATACGGATACGAAAATACGACAAAACTTAAAAAAAAAGATACGGGTACGATCATGATACGTTTATAATAAAATATATTTTATATTTTACTATTATTTAACGACTTAAAAATTATAGTTTTTCAATAATTTTTTAACATTAATAAGTGAAATTAGTAATTTTTACCGTGAAAAAGATGTAATATCGTCTTATTATGATATGCTCATAAAATAAATATGACCAATTAAAGGAATCATAATCACATTTAACTAGTTGGTTTTACAAGTATTTATTTTTAAAAGTATAATGTAAGTGACTCATTTTTTTATATTATATATGAACTCCAAAAGAAGGGGTATAATTTAAAATTGAAAGTTATATATCTTATTCCATGTTTAGAAGTATCCGCGAAGTATTCACATATTTTATTAATTATCGGATATGGATGAGACGTATCCAATACGTATTATGGAGTATCTGATACGGGTACGTTGACCTTGACGAAGTTTCTGTTCTTCGTAGATCAATCTCCACCATAACATTACTAATTCCATTGCTTTGAATGAGTTGCAGGCCCCTTAGGATTGCCCAAAGTTACACTTGCAGGCTTGTTGTGTCATTTAAGGACTATTTGATAACACCACTTATGACTTAAAATTAAATATTTTAAGCATTTAATAAATTAAACCCGTTTAATAACCTAAAACTCATACTACTTAATATTTTAAACACTTCTTAAAAATAAGCTAAAATTTTAAATAACAAGCCACTTACTTATTACTTAATGCTGAAAATGTTTATAATTAAAGATTTTATCAATTTTTCATAATTGACAAATATACCCTCACTACCATTGTGTCATCGCTACCACCACCAACATTATCACCACCACCACCGCCACCACCACCATCACCATCACCACCACTGTCGCCAACACTACCACCACCACCATTGTGCCACTGTCACCATCACTATCGTTGCCGCCATCACTATTATTTTGTCACCCGCACCACCATCATCACTACAACCACCATTGCTGCCACCACCGTCACCACCACTGTGTTGTTGCCACCACCACAACCACCACCATTGTTCCATCGCTACCATCCCCACCATTGTACTAGTGCCACCACAATCGACATTACCACCACCACCACCATCACCATCGCCACAACCATCATTACCATTGTGTCGCTGCCAACACCATCATCGCTGCCGCCACCCTACCATTGTGCCACCGCCACCACCATTGCCACCACCTCCACCACCACCGTCACTATCATTGTGTCATTGTCACCCCCACTACACATCATTGTGTCATCGCTACCATCACCACCACTATTGTGCCACCACCACCACCATCACCATCATTGTGTCATCGCCACCATTATCATTGTGCCACCACCATCATTATTGTGCCCCCACCATCATTATTTTACCACCACCATCAACACCACTATTGTGCCACCACCATCGTCACCACTATCATTGTGTCCTCACCGCCACTATCACTGTGCTACCACCATTATTGTCACCACCATCATTATTGTACCACCACCACTACCGTCATCGCCACCACTACCACCACCGTTGTGATTTATAGTTATTGTGCACATACCCATCAAATGAGTTTGTATGCGTTTTGTACTTTTAACTATAAATAATTAATACACTGACTTTCTCACACTCACTGTGAGATAGATTTATTCTCAACGTCTTTAAACTTGACATGATATGAAATTTATTATTATCATTTTATGTGTTACCTATAGAGTGACCAAATTTTAACATACCATAACTAAAACACTTAGCAACATGAGATGACTTGATCCATTAACAATCTTACACCACCACCATTACCATTGCCTTCATCATCCCCGTTGGTTTTGAGCTCATTGTTATACACAAAAACAAAAGATAGAGAGACATGCACATAAAATAGATTTTGACCAATTCAATCAAGACAAACCCTTCCAAACCATGAACTAATAAAGACAAACCCTTCCAAACAATCTTCATTGTCTAAATAATGAGGATTGGTACCCATGTTAGTTACTCTAGATCTGAACCCAACAAAGTTACAATCACCAAACTTCTATTGTATTCGATATAATAAAGGAGATAGTCTCGTTGAATAGATCAAATCCTTGCTCCAAGATTTAGCATATTTCTATGATGTTAATTACATTAAACACAACGCACTTGTAACAAAAAACTATATGAATAATAAAGTATTGAATAACACTACATTAGACGTAGCACATTTTGTTCGATGGACTTGAAGAAAAAAACTCATATCTAGTTGAAGAAATCACCGACTCCGATGGACTTCAACCTAGAAAATTGGTGGCCACAAATAGTCGATGGTGGTTTGGCTAAGGCTGGGACTGGGTTAGGATGGTAGTGGTTTGTGGGTCTAGGTGATTTCGGACGGTGGTGGTGCTGGGTATGGGGGGTTTGGGATGGTGGTGGTGGTGGTGGTGTTGGGGATAGGGGTTTTTGATGGTGGTGGTGCTGGGGCTGTGGGTTTTCGATGGTGGTGGTGTTGGGCCTGTGGAATAGTGATGGTGGTGATTTTGATTGGTGGTGGTGCTGCGACAGTGGCCTTGGTGGGGGTGTTGCTCATGGTGGAATGAAGGTTTGTGATTTTGAATTTTGAATGAGGTAATTTGGGAAAAATGATAGAAGGAAGGCAGAAGGGAAATAGAAAGGGGCCAAATAACAACCATAGAAATGTTGATTCAATCAACGTTTTTAAGGATATTTACAAAAACGATGGTTCAACCAACGTTTTATTTGAGTTTTTTAAAAAATAAAATATTTTAAAAGATGTTTGTTCGAACAACGTTTTTACACAAAAAACGTTATTTTAACTAACGTCTTTTACTCTAAAAATGTCAACTGACTTTTTTAAAACTGCACGAGTTTGAAAAATAATTTGAAAACTACAATATTTGGGGTATAAGGTTTAAAAAACACTTGAGTTAGGATAAAAGCTCCACGGATTTGATTAGGAACCAAACCAAAACCAAAACCTATCAAGTCTGTCAGGATATTTAAAAGAAAATTGGGAATATTGTGGGACCATTTTGAGATGACAACCATCCAGAAAAGGACGCGTGTGTACATGCCTTGGTGTATACATGTTTGGGGACTGCCAAATGGAAAAAAACAACGAAAAATTTCATCCACACCCTCTTTAATTAAGTTTAAATTTAATGATACCCTTTTTTGATTTTAAAACATCACTATATTCTGTTCTAGTTTATACTTTCAAATCAAATACACAACCCTTACGATAATTCTTAACTCTATCATTACAAAAAGTAATGATTTGCCTATAAATTTTTTGAATTTATTAAATTAAGACCAAATTTATTCAATTATTATAAATTTTATCAAATAATATTTAAATTTTATATATGAAGAGTGATGTGTGAAGAGTGGTCAGGGGACGTTATGGGGGATATACGATAACAGAAGAATTATAAACGGATGAGATTTTGACAAAGACATTAATCTCTGTCTTTGTCTCCACCAATAATTGAATAAGACATTAATCTTACAATAATACATCACAACAAATTGACATAACAAAAAGGCAGAAAAAAATTAAAAAAATGTGCATGAACAAAATTAAAAAAAAATTGCATAAAAAATTAAAAATATCTGCATGAAAAAAATAAAAAATAAACTACATGTAAAAAATTTCATGAAAAAAATTAAAACTATCTACATGAAAAAAATTGCATGAAATTTTTTTTTAAAAATTGCATGAAAAATATTTTCAAATCTACAAGAATTTTTTTTTTTTGACCAACTTATATAATGATCGATCACTATAGAGAACGAGTTGAAGAAGAATGACTGACTTCAATCCCC